AAAAAAAAAAAAAAAAAAAATCATAAGTAAATATTGAATTATAATTAGTGATATGCAGACTGAAGTGTAATGATGTTTGCAACTTACTCCGAAATGCAACCAAAAATAAAAATGGAGGGATGGAGAAATGGAGAGATGTATGATAAAGTAAACAGAACAAAATGTTGACAGATGTAAAACATGTAGGATAAGTCTAGCAGGTTCACTGTGTAATTCTTTCCATTTTTTTCTGGAGGTTTGACATTTTTTCATAATAAAATGTTGGGAGAGAGAAAGAACCTGGCCCCTCAATTTCCCTGAAAACAGAATTCTCCAAATACTGCCTGGGCGGTGAGGATAAAGCTGGTTATTTTCAGCACTAAAAAGGAAGTTTATTTGGTTCTTAAGCTCCACAAATCGAAACAGATGCTGGAGGCAGTGTTGTATATAGTTTTGGGATCAGACAGACCTGTGTTTCGATCTAGGATGATCATGGCCTAGTTGTGTGACACTGAACAAGGCTCTTCACCTCTCTGAGCCTCAGTTTCCTCACCTGTAAAGTGGGGCTAATAAACCTTACAGGATTAGATGGATAATGCATGTGAAGTATTTGCAGTATATGTTGAGAAGCTGAGATTAAGAGTGCAGGCTTAGGACCCAGATTGCCTTGGTCTGAATCCCAACTCTGTTCTGTCCTAGCTGTGTGACTCTGGCCAAGCTACTCAACCTCTCTGTGCCGAGTTGCCATATTTGTAAAATGGTAATAATAACAGCACCTATGTCATTGGACTGTTATGAGGATTAGATGAGTTAATTCAGTCTAAAGAGCTTAGACAGTACCTGGCACACAGTAGGTACTCAATAAATGGCAGCCATCGTGGACCAGACTCTTGGCAGCTTCATGAACCACATGACTCTCAAGCCACCCCAGTGTGTAGGGCCTGCAAGTGTGACATGGGAAATTGAACACCAGTAATGGCCTGGGGCCAGGCACAGGGAATGAGCAAACCCATCAATCAGGGGCTATTGAAAAGGCTCCAGTGTTGGTTCTGTCCACATCAAAGCTGTTCATGGTCACGGGATAATTAAGCTGTGTATGACCCTTCCCCCAAGCTGGGGTAACACAATTCTGCACAGAGTAACCAACACTTCCTGGAAACTAACAAACATTCATCCTTCCTCACCAGAGTGTAAATAAAGCCAAGGGCCACACTGGCTAAAGACATTTCTGCTCACTGGGCTCTTAGCGATATTCAGCTGCCATGGAAGCAGCCGCAGTTGGCCACCACCGGTACCCCCATCAGGCCAAACAGGGGACAGGCTGTTGGTGAAGCTGCCACTAGCTCTTACAGCACCTTTGTAAAAATCAGATAAAGGTTCCCTCCCCTTCCTCTGGGCAGATGTGCTGCCATCCAGAGTGCACGGCATGGCAGGCAGAGCACAGGCTGGCTTTCAGGCATTACTTTTCTTCTAGGTTATGCCTGTGCAGTGCTCAACCTGCCCGACCATATTATGGCAGCCTAGTTCCTGGGAGATGAAGAGGAGGTCTAGCCCAGTGGTGTTTTGTTAGCTCTCCAGGCTTCAGAGGGTGCGGGGAGTGTCCTTGGCACTGTGGGCAGAGGTTTGTAGCAGGGGCTTTGGAGTCAGCAACCTGAAAGCAAATCACTCTTGTAGATGTGTGATTATGGCCAGTTCTCAATCTCTCTGAGTCTTGGTTCTCCCATCTGTAAAATGGGGATGGTATCATCCTGATCATAGGCTTACTGTGGGCTTCCCATCATTAAATGAGATGAAGCTTGGCATAGGACTGCACATCGTAGGTGGACAGTTTTTTCAGATATTGGGGTAATCCTTCACGGGTTTCCTTTGGGCTGAGCATCCCAGCAAGGCACCTTTCCAAGTGCCACCACCCTTCATGATGCCTCCATCAGGAGAAAAGATTTTCATCTAGAAATATTATAAACACCATGACCTCAGGCAAGTCCTTTACCTGTGCTGAGTCTCAGTTTCCCTACCTGTAAAGTAGGCATAATGACTATTCCTGCCTCGCAGGGCAATCAGTGAGAAAATGCATACGAAGGACTCAACACTGAGTCTGGCACAAAGAAAGTCCCTAAGTGCCACCGTCACCACACCACCACCATCGTCATCACAGTCTGGTACCCCAGCAGATGGACGAGGACATGAACACTGAGTGTGGGCTCCACTAGCAAAGGAAGGATAAAGGTGGAAAGGATGAGTGAGACAGACAGAGACAGAGAAGAAAAAGTTACAGGTAAACTTGCAGAATCCTAGAATTGGAAGGCTAACAATCTACAGCTTCATTTTACAGATGGAGAAACTGAGGCCCAGAAAGGGGACATGACTCGCCCAGGATCATGCAGTGGGTCTGTGTTGAAGACCCAAGTCTCCTACTCCCAGATCAGATGTTTTCCCATTCGGTCTCACAGCCCCCATTACAGGAAGAGCCACCAAGGGGGTCTTCAGTATAAGGGATAGAGATGAAGGTTTTCAGAACCATCCCCCTTGCCGGGGGCCCTCCCTCCATTGCCCATGCAGGATCTCTAAGCCTGGCTATGCTCACCAGCCCTGCCTCTGCCCTCTGCTCTCTGGCCTGCACAGTTCTCTTGCTGACAGGCTGGCTGGAATGGACTGGCTGGAGCATCTCTGGGAGGGAGGCCGCTGGGAGAGCTTCTGGGGGTCTGCTGGGTCGGCGGGGGGGGGGGGGGGGGGGGGGGGGGGGGGGAAGCCGGTTGGCTTACCTTGGACCTGTGTCTGATACACAATGAAGTAACTGGGTGTCCCGCAGCTCTCAAACTCCTCCGCGCTGCACTTCTGGGCACAGAGCTGTTCGTCCTCTCTCTCGTGGAGGGGAAATCGCGTAGTGGGGAAGCCACAGTGGCAGGCGGTGCCCGCAAGGGCTGCCAGTGGGTACTCCTGGGGATGAAGCAGGAGAGGAAAGGGAAGAAAGTCACCAAATCCCTGGACAGCCTAGACTCTGGATGCAGAACAGGATTTGCGTTCCAATCGTCCCCTTCTCCATCACTCTCCCCAACTCAAGGGTCCCCAAGCTTCAGCAGCAAGATTTTGCCCTATCTGCGTACCTCCTGTACTATTATATTTTCCAGCTTCTTTTGAGGTATAATTAAGTAAAAATTTGCATCTATTTAAGATGTGCGACTTGATGTTTCAATGTATGTATACATTGTGAAATAATCACCACAATCAAGCTACTCAACACACCCATCACCTCTCATAGTTACCATTTTCTTTTTTGCTTTCCTGCACTATTATTCATTTCTTTGTTTCCTTTATGTGTCAAGTCACTCTTTAAAATTTATATATATATATATATATATATATATATATATATATATATATATATATATTTTTTGTCTGTGTTGTGTCTTTGT